TTGTCATAGGTGCTTCTATCGTCATTGGTCACTAAAAAAAGTAATTCCACTAATCGGTCAAATCTTCACTTCAGGTATTTAATTATCAAAATTTTCAACTCTGATCTTCCGCTCGTCTTGTGAATATTTTTCATGGATTCCCGTAGTCATTATCCGAAATAAGTATTTCTGGAAAGCTCATTTTTCAAAAATTAATAGTATGCTGTTACAACATAATTGATAAGTTAAACCTCACACAGCAATTTCGATTTTGGTACAGTGAATATCAATTAACTCTGTCCAATTAGTTCAACAATTCATTGTCGTTGTTGACATCATTCTATCATGCATTTTTGACATTCAACACTTAGAGATCTTCTGACGTGCAGAAATGTTTTTCCTCTGCATTTTTAGAAATTGCAGTCACATCATATTCGTGACAATCAGCTGAATGAAAGGGTGTAGCCTAGCTGAATAAAGCTTTGCTGGATTTCTTGTGAACACCGAAATTGCTCTTAATGAAGGTTTTTCTCGTGTCGTCATTCATTTCATTTCATCAAAAGGACGACGTTAAATGCTCCTCACGAACCAATATTTTTTCTTCATTTATCTACCTTACTCAAAGGCTTTTTTGAAGTGTTTTTCTGAATTGAGCCATTTCTCGAACAATGTAATTCCGGTTCACGATAGGCATGCTAAACAAGTGAAGTTTCTCCAAAACTGATACTTCTTCACTTCTCACTTCCAATTACAAACTAATTAATCAAATTTCGACTTTATACCAAAAATATAATGTGGCATTGAATCGATTCAGTGTTCAGAAATCAACACTACCGCTGCTATTATGTCGTATCGCTTTTGTTTGTTCGTGATCAGAGTTCGTCATTGCAAAATGATATCGTTTCATTTCAACGACAATGACATTATACCGTTTGTAAGATTCCGAAAATACTTCGTGATATTCAAACCTGAAAAGCTTCTCTCTGGTCTAGACGCAAGTAAATTCAGCAAAGAAATGAATGAATGATGAAGCTGACATGAATTTTATTGCCCATCTTAAAGAAACACTGCTTCTTCAATATAGGTTATTTCTATGTGAATCAATATTCGAGCCTAAAAGACGCAATCATCAGTCGTATATTCACGTGGATGATGGTTGAAAAATGGTTTGATTGTGGTTGCAGTTATACCTCTGAATGGTTCGATGCAGTTTGTTTTTCATATGAAGATTATGCGAGCAATATTTACGGTGAATGAACCAGTATTACATCCTAACTATTCGAGATTTGAAAGTGAGCTTCAGTGCCAATATAAACATCGCAACCTGGTGAGAGTCTGCGTGTTGTGTTGGTTGCCGCAATGGCAGTCTGTTCTGTTTGACTTGAACGCGTATTTCACAACAGAAATTTTGATTCAGTTGATCGATGATCGCTCGTGAATCATCGATCTCAAGCAATCATTCGTTTAATAGCACACATTACTATCCAATTGCCTCACCCATCTTTACTCATACCATTGGAACGTGCTGATTTTGAATTTATGACGAATTGTGATAACGAGCGCATTTTATTATTTGCCATCAAATATACGTCTCAATTGAAACACTTCAAACACCAACTCAAAGCTATCCTATTCTCAAAACGGAATTTATCCTCATTGTTTCTACAAAAAAAATACATACAGCAATCTGACCATAAATGCTCATTTTCTTCCTACGAATACGAAACATTCCAATCACCACTCGTAAATCAAGCACCGCGCTGTCATTCCACAAGTTCCAAGAGAATTATGCTGAAAAATGAATTTCTTCAGATTGAATGCATCAACAAAAATTCAGCCCTCCGAATTGTTTGTTCAG